CTGAGCCGAAGTCGGATGCTCAACTGACTGAGCCACCCAGGTGCTCCTTATTCTTAGTTATTCCTTATTCTTAATTATTATTTTAAGCAATATTTTAAGTAATCCAGAATAAATCAGTTTCATATATTAAGCAGTATTTTAAGTAATCCAGAATAAATCAATTTCATATACTAAGCAGTATTTTAAGCAATCCAGAATTAATCAGTTTCATATACTCTATGAAAGTCAGGCAAAAATAGTGTTGTTATAGTTGCCTGTTTTCAGTGGGTTTCAATTTTTTTAAGTTAGTTTTGTGTGTGAACAATTTCTGGATTCTAAATTTAATCATGTTAGCATGGGGCGCCTGGGTGGCTCAGTCGGTTGAGCGTCGGACTTCAGCTCAGGTCATGATCTCAAGGTTTGTGAGTTCAAGCCCCACGTCGGGCTCTGTGCTGACAGCTTGGAGCCTGAAGCCTGCTTCGGATTCTGTGTCTCCCTCTCTTTGCCTCTCCCCTGCTTGCGCTCTGTCTCTCTCTCAAAAATAAATAAAGATTAAAAAAATTTCTTTTAAATTATATTTTAGTATGATGTATATTTTAAACAATGTTTGGTCTCTTTAGAAAGTGGTTAACCTCTCAGGTCTGGAATATTCTCTGCTTTCGTTTCTAAACAACTTAAACAGGACACTCATAAGGCTAGTAACTGACATCTAATACTTAAAATGATAACATCATTGTTCCTACTTCAGAGATGTGTAGGTGGCGACTTGTTGAGGGGAAATTAACTTCTTTAGGTAGGAAAAAGGTAAATGGGGGGGGGGGGCTGTCACAATTTAATGCTTACACTGATCCCTGAAAGTCTGCATCTGAAAGGCCGAACTGGGAGAAAAACAGAAAAAGCAGCCAGTCTGCTTTGTAGACAGACCAATCTTAAGTCTCTGTTATTTCCATGTCTCAAGCGATTACTAAAAAATTTCCAAAACCTAGCTGTTCTTCTATCAGAAAACAAGTGAAATGAATATAGTAGAAATTAAAAAGTTAGTAATGTGTTCCTAGCCTATGTTAGAAGTAGAGCAAAACCTCCCTAGTTCAGAGCAGAGTCAGAAGGAAACTTTTCTCTCGCTTAATACACAGCGTGTATTAAGCAACTGTATTAAGCAGGTCCTACGCTGCACAGAAAATGCTAGCATTACACTAATGAAAAGCCAGGATTGTATCGGCTTTCAAAAAAGGTATATAATCTGCGTTATTGTCCAGTGCTAACTATGGTAGAGAGGGAAACAAGAAAAAAAGAAGCAGAAGCATGAAAACACCTTAGCTGAAATTGGACCTACAGACATCCGCATTCTAGAGTCAGAAAGCTACTGTGAGAGGCGGAAAACCAGACTTGGCATCATCCACTGGTGTTTAGCATGAGTCTGATCCTCTCACTAATGTTCAGGGAAAATGCACACACCAGAAAAACACCCGCTTAATTTCATCTTCTCTGTCTGACCCAGCATATTATACTGTTCCCTTAATAGTTCAAGTGGCAGTGAGCACTACACAACCCAGATAGGGATGTTTTAGAGATGTCCTCATAAGTTGGTAACTCAAATCAATTATAGGCCATTTCAAACTCAGCAAGACGAATCAGGACAAACACTATTCCGTAAGAGAATGACAATAACTCTTAAATGATAGCTTAATTATGAATCTATGATTGTTCTAGAGGTTCTGTGAAAAGTAATGCCAAAACAGAAGCTGGAAATCATCTCAAGCCCAGACTTTAATCCCTTAAATAACAATGACTTAAAATACTGATATAAAACTTTCACTGGACTCTGAAGGGGATCTCTAATATCTTGGACTTCAGATGTACAGCAGGAATATTAACTTAGAAACTACCTTAAAATGCTTGTGTCCTATGATCAATAGGAAACACCAAAATTTCTGCCAAGGGTCAGCTTTTCCTTAAGTTCCATTGCAACAGCTGGTTGGTAATTACTACATTTCCGTGCTATAAAGAAATGCTATTCTGATGTCCGTGTATAAACAACAGTATGAGTACTAAAATAAAATTATATTTTAGAGTTAATGCCAGTAAAACATACTTATTTGTTTAAGGAGGTACAGTTGTTTATTTATTTGTCTCCAGTCCTCAATCAAATACCAGTCTATCTGCCTCAAACTAAATGTATTTTTGTTAGATGATGACAGCTAATTTCAGGGCCACAATTTATTACAAATAAACATTAAAAACAAAATAAAGACGGGTATAAACTTAATTCTTCTGTTTAATGAATAACAAGGAAGCAACGAAATCCTTGGGAACCAAATATCATAGCACGGTTACCAAGAAAAGACTTAGTGAATTCCTCAAAGCTTTCACCAAAGAGTTATATTAAATTTCCTTTCGGCAACAAATAAATTGGTTTCTCACTGGTAGAAGCTTAGGTCAGTCATCTAAATCAGGGAAAGCAGGACCGTATGCCATTTACTGAAGAGTCACTTAAGTATAAACCGTGTCTCTCCCCATGGCATGTTTATGTCCTCTCTATAGAAGATTTACACTGGGGTGGTGGCTGATTATCTTGATTCCTCACAACTTAGATTAAAAAAGCGAAAAAACAAAAAAACCAACACATCACTGAAGCTTTAAAAGCTTGCATAAAAACATGGAAATATCTCTATTTTCTTTTTATCTTCTTTCACACTGGAACACGTGGATCTGAAATTCGGTGATACCGGGAAGAAAGAATAGGGTTCCTAGATTCGTAGGGAAGCGAGACAGACCCTTGGAGCCCTCTCACCTGTGACACTGTGATGCTGCATTTCTTGGCCAGCTCCTCTTTGGCTTCTTCACTGGGGTAGGGGTTACTGAGGTGTGAGTAAAAATATTCATTCAAGATTTCGGTGGCCTGTTTACTGAAGTTACGCCTTTTTCGTCTATGACAAGAAGCAAAAGAGAATTACAGTTATAATCGGTCTTAACCAAGGAGGGATATATTGATTAGGATCATACAAAAAAGTTAGATTTCTATGTTTTAAACATTCTTAGGGTCTGATTTATCACACCAATTTGCAATTACGCTCTTGGCATCCTCCAAAGCACCGTCCAACTCGTGTTAAGATGTAGGATCACTAAAAATACAAGAATGTGAAGCACAATTATCTCTATTCTTTAAATTATGCAACAAGGATCTAATGTGTTATAGGTCCTCAGGGAAGATCCAGTTGAAACAAAGCAGGTAAGGTCTACCAGAGAGCTTAAAGGAGATCGGAGGGTTCAGGGAGAGAGTAGAAAGTTAGGGGGAAGAAAGCCATTAAACATGTATCATGGAAATGATTACAAATTATGAATTATCACAAATTATGAAGGAAAAGTATGGG